TAAATCCCAGAAGTACTTACATAAAAACCAAACAAACAACATAACTTGACAGAGACAATGGTCACTAGCAAAGCAAAAACAGCCACAAACAAGGTAATATTCCTGCTCCTTCACTGTCCACTGAAGCCGCCCCTTCAGACTACTGAGAGTAAGTTTCCAGCAGGTGCGGCAAGGAGGCTCCCCCCCACCCTGTGCTCCCGAAAGGGTCCGGGGAGATCACGGAAAATGATGTCACAAGCAGGCAGAAAGCCAGAACTTGACAGCAGTGATAGTCTGCATCCTCACATTATGAATATGAATCAAACAAGAAGGCACAGACGAATGCTTTCCTATTAACCCTAAATTCAAGTATAATGTTCATATAAAACAATTTAAAGTTACTCACTACTTATAATTACACGATTGATACATTTGCCATTTTTGTTCATGTGTCTTACTAAACTGACTTTCGTCAGGCTTTTGATTGTCAACCTGCTGGTTAGGTATTATTGTAAAAAAAAAAAAAAAAACCTAAACCTACCATTTAGGAAAGTAAACAGCTTCTTCATACGATCGTGAAACAGCATCAGAGGAAAAAGTCAGATTCATTATCTTGCTCAAGGGCACTTAGGCAGGAGTACAAAGGAACAACCACATAAGCTGTTAAAAAATGTAGTGGAGTAAGTTCATCGTCTTGACACGTTTGTCACTCAGACTCTGTCATCCATTGGCAGGATTTGGATAGAAATATAGAAAGAGTGGTGGCGGTGATTGTGTCAGCGTTACGTGAGCCATGACTATATTTAGATGTGTTCATTGATTTGCTACTGACACATTACACTGGGCCTGTCTGCGGCCCATAATTTAGGTATCCGCAGAGATAGGCACAACCCTGAGCGCTAAATCACACAGCAGGGCGAAAACCTCATAAATGGTATCAATGGTGTCCATCACTTTAACACTCATGAGATGATAGAAATTTACAAAACTCAAAGCAAGTTATGGGCACAATAAGGCAGTCAGACGGGCAAGAACATTTTTTTTTTTCAAATCTCATCACAATGAATAAAAACAAGCCTGGAGTTCTTTAAACCAGCTCCAATTTTACAAAGTCTCCACACATACGAACAGATGCTTTCTGTGAGGACTTTGCAGACCACTTCAGAAGTAAAATCATAAAATCCTGCCTTTTAGCTTGTCGAAATGTAGGTTTTTATAAACCCTGACAGTTATTTTTAGCTAAGGAAACACTGGAAAGCTTTGCCGTGGTTAATGCTAGGGACACTTGGTCGAGTTTCCAACAACTGCCTTTCAGATCCAAAGACGAAAGACATTTTATAGATTCATCGAAGAACTGATTTTAAATAAGTCGACTGATCTCTTGATACAGGTGTCTTCCCATTTAAATGACTGCTCTCGGGTTTCCCTAAAAAATAATATTTCAAGCTTACAATTTCTGCAGAGCTCAGCCGCACGGGTGCTGACGAGGATCAGAGGACGAGAGCAAATGATGCCATTTTTTAAAATCGCTGCATTGTCTCTCTGTGTGTTTGAGAATTGATTTCATGGTGCTTTTATAAATGACTTAATGGTCTTGGGCCATCTCATGTATCTGACCCGTTTTTATCACAGCAGCCTTCGTGTATCCTGAGGTCCTCTGGCACCGGCCTTTTAATTATTCCTCGGGTGAGAACCAAAACACACGGTGAGGCTGCATTCGGCCATTTTCGGCCACAGCTGTGGAATAGCCTGCAAGAAGAAATCAGGTCCACAGAACCTGTTGAGATTTTTGAGAGGAGGCTCAAAACACAGCTTTTAGTTTGGATTTCAATGATTTGTTTCAAAATTATAATTTAGACCTATTTTTATCTAATTTGTGTGTGTGTGTGTGTGTGCGTGTGTGTGTGTGTGTGTGT